CAGTAATTTCTTTGTTACTTTATTTGTTACCGTCTTATTCCTACAGTGAAAACATGGCAAAGTCATGCCATGCTTGGATAAGTTGTTTTGATAAAGACGGACGTTTAAAAAAAAGTGCCAACAAACAAGCAAGAAAAACTGCTGACTAATGCTTCCTGCTTTGTAAAGAAACATGGAATTAAAAAAAATCTATCAGGGAAGAAATTCAAGTTTTTTTTTTTTTCACTTTTGAATATATGTTGCCCTTGACTGTTGTGTGTTCCTTAAATTAAATGATAACTCATGTTTTTCAATCTATTGAATTAAAACAACTTTCTTTCAGAGTCTTTTCTTGATGACTGAAAATATCTGTTTTTAATGGCTGATGACTTGGATTTTCAGCCTGAAAATCCTGTTTTCAACAATCTAAATAAAAATTAATTTATTGTAGTGAAAATGACCCATTTTTTTGTCTTGCAGAATCTGACAGCCATTGTTGATGTAAATGAAGAGCGTTGTTTCGTTCTTCCCCTGGATCGCAGTGTGGTGTCCCCACCAAGTGACTTCCTGGATCTCATGCTGAAGTACATGGTAAGTATGAAGCTAGAAATCTGAAACAATTTCAAGAGTGGCCATTTTGAAATTACAGTCAGTTTTACAAAAAGTCTTGCAGTCCAGCTATTTTTTCATAACTGTCATTCCAAATGGCCAATTTCTTCGAAAAATTTTCACCATATATGATTACCAGTGTAGTGTAAAAGTATAGGGATGATATGTATGTATGTATTAAAACAAATAAACGATATTTTTATTCATGGACTGTGGCATTAAAGGAGCAGTATTCAAAAAAGGAGAAAAAGAACAATTTTGTTTATTTCATTAAGACATTTATTGGAGTTTATCCAGTGTTTCTTTTTCTACCTGTAGAATGGTGCCTATACCCCCAATGTGCGCAAGATCCGCCGTGAGTACCAGGTCCAGTACCCCAAACTGGAGGACCTTAGTCGCCTTGGCTGGTACATACAGAACCAGTGCTTCTCTTATGACACATACCGCCTTGTGGCTTCTGGTAAGACGGGTGATGTAGTAAATATAGTTTCTTTCCTAGTTGAACTGTCCTCTTGAGGCGAGTTCAGTTTGTAAAATGAACAGAGGGTGGTAAGCATTTGGAAAAAGTACGATTTCGTAGGTCAAATTCTTTTATTTATTTACTCAGTTAATCTTTATTTTAAAGAACATCATTGTTAAGTGTTGAAAGAATATTTACTTGTGTTATATTATTGGATACAAGACCCTGCTCCCCTCAGTATCTTCAAATCCCATACTGAGACTAATTTCCCTTAAAGGAGAGAAGGAAAAAATGTAAGAAGGGATTTAAAACTCTATTAGTCTGCAATGTTAACGCTGGCCAGTGCCAAATGCAGGCAAAAATTGGAGCTAAGCCAATAACAAGTTGTTTATGTATTCATTTACTGGCAACTGTGTCTGTGTGGCCACATTGTATTCTCAAATCCTGGTGTATCAAAGAGCCAATAGGGAGAAACTTTTTGGGCACAGGCTACAGTTATTTTACCCTGTGATATACCAAGTATAATCTCAAATGCTGGTTTATCAAAGAGCCAATAGGCAGGAACATTTTGGGCAAATACTACTCTTATTTTACCGTGTGATATACCATTGGCATAACACTCCATTTAGCGCCTGTTAGTGCCATCTCTGTAACACTGATAAGGAGAAGGGATTTCGTGAAATGTCTAGTTCTTATCAGTACTTCACTTCCAAAGTGCAGTTAACGTGTTGCTGTAATAACTTTGTATTATATTACAGGTGAGACCCAGACACATCACCCCCTGTTGGGAGGAGGTAAGATGCTGTTTAAGCAGTTTTTATTTGTTGGTTGATTATTTTCATTAAATGTGTATCTGTGTGTGTGTTTGTGTTTGTATGCCAGTTAATTGTCACCATAATTACTCTATTTTTTGGCCTATTTTATTGAAATCACTTTTGACGACTGTTGCTCTTCCACATTGACAAAGCAATTGTTATTTCTTGATTTATTATTTTAATTGAACGTGTGTGTGTTTGTAGATGCCAGTTAAGTGTGACCAAAATTACTGTAAATTTTTAGCCTGAACTGCAATGACTTAAAAAGTTACATATTACAAGAAGAAAGGTTTTGGCAAATACCTAAATTTAAGTTGCCAAATTGGAACCATGTGGTCAGTGAAATGTTGTCAACATATTAGGTTGATGACAAGTGTTTCTGTTGTAGGTCAATTTTTCAAGCAGTCGAGCCTTAACTCGCATCAACTATTCAGGATGTCATTCTCTTTAGAGTAGAAATGAATAAATCTTGATGAAATTGAATAATGTTCAAGTTTTAAAATATCTGAGTGTATTTGTTTCACTTGTAGATGATGGACACAGACCCTCTTGGCTGGCCACTACAAAGCGCCCCCTGTTGGGTGCACGTAAGTTAACACTAACTTCACTCTTCTGTAGTGAACATATAATTTAGTCAAGAAGTACCCTGTCCCAGGGCCACAGATTGACTTTTTACAGGATGCACACAGATATGTCTTTAGATAAATAGGCAGTCATTGTACTAACTCTGGATTTTCCCATTTTTGCCTATAGAATCTGCCACCCTGATTGAAGAAATGTTGTTGATGAAAGGAGGGGGGGGGGGGGGGTATGATTTTTAAATGGAATCCTGTCTGGGTGCATGTTTGAAGGTGCATACTGGTATATAGACCAATTCCGTTGTTGTTAATGTCATCTAAAAGAGCTGTCAGCTTTGGAATTAAATCATTTTCTTGTTATTGAATGGATATTGGAATATTTTTCTTCATCTTTTCTAGCTGACGGCCACCGCCCAGCATGGCTAGGACATCATCATGACAGAGGTAAGGGTTGCTATTGCCGCTCTCTTGTTGGCAGATCCACTTTCAAAGGCTGTGACTGGCAGTGGCATAGAAGTGACACCCACATTGGACTGGTGGTGACTTAGAAATTGCTAACCTACAGCATTTGTGGTGCTTTTGCTGCATAGAATAGAACAATAAAGTAGCTTTATTTTCCATTTTGATGTTGCCACTCAATAGGAATGTTCTCATTTTAAGAAATTGTGACTTAAAAAGTACAATATCTGCTTAATTCACAATTTCCCCCCATTGAATAGATAGAGTAATTACCATAATGTAGTCTGTTCAGTATATTGAAAACTAATTGCTCTGTTGTGCTACCTTTCAGATGGACACAGAAGACCACATGGGCACGACATGCATGGAATGCGCAGTACGTTCACTATTCATTTCACAATAAAATAAAACTGAATTTTAGGCTCAAACACACATAGTAGTAGTACTATTAGCACACAGTGTTTGCAAAGTGATAAAGATAAGGTGTTGATAGTTAAATTTTTATCTTAAAGATTACATAATAGCTCTGTCAGATGCTTATATTGGATTTACTATTTTTAAAATGGAGTAGGACATAAACTTAAAATTCTGTGATGGATACTCGTTCTATTTCAGACAAGAGAAGTGTGAAGAAAGACTTCAAGGTGGCCGTCATTGAAGGCACCAAGGCAGTGGTAGAATATGCTTTCAAATTTGAGTAATCAAAAAGAGAAGTTAGAATCAAGTACTTCTACTAGAACTATTTACTAACTCATTTGCACATTTCTAAGAGCTGACTACAAAATAGGTAGAAGTGGTCTCAGCAACTTCAAGTCATTCCTTAACATTTTATGATTTTCGGTGAGGAGTGATATATGTATTTTGAACAGACAAAAAAGCACAGGCTTAATTTCCTTGGAATATTGCAAATATTGTTAAAACAAAAAAAAGAGACAAAATAATCCCAAGCACACATTTGATGATAATATCTCCGATTTTGTGCCACTTAGATTGGATCAAAGCTCTAGCCTCTTTGTGTAAATGTCACTATATATTTTATTACATCACTTGATTCTGGTTGACTGTGATAGGATAGAAAAAACTGTCGTTATGGAGACTCTATGGCCATGGGGTCATTGCTATGGAAACTACAGGATAGAAAAACTGTTGTTATGGAGACGCTATGGTCATAGGGTCATTGCTATGGAAACCACAAGGTTGTTGGGCTGTTCCAAACATTCAGATAGAAATGCATTATTTCTCTAAGAAGGTTCACATTTTATACTTTAGAGTGCTTTGTTTGCTGGAATAGTTGGCATAGCAGATCACTTTTCACATTTCCAAGGTTCACACTCATGTTTTTGAAAAAAAAAATTCAGATTTTTTTTTTCTCCGCAAGATCCGTTGTTTGCCCTAAAAATGATCAGGCCTTGAGTTCTTCAAAACAACTGAATATTTCCATCTTAACATGGGTAAGTGAGGGAGAGCAGGCCATACAACAAAACCCTTGATCAAATAATTTTGCCTACACAACATTCTTTTCTTGTTTTTAAAACAACGTTCAAGTGTTGATGTCTCAAATTTTAAGGCTGCTTGCCAGCTCAATCTAATGCACAGGGTATCTACGCTCCCTCTTTGTATACCAGTGAAATATGAATTTGTAGGTCTGGCGTTGCCATTTAATTGTCATTTTTATTCAAAATTTTATTAATTTGAACAACAACAGTTAAATATTGTCTTAACAGTGACTTTGTTAGTCTTTTATCTATATAGCCATAGCATTTGAAATAACAGTAATTGTTCTCTTGATTTAAGGACATTTTCATACTGTCTAAAGTCATTATTTTGGTACGTATGGTTTGTAAATTAAAAGTAATCAGTGACCTTGATATCTGGGTTTGTATCTTGGCGGTAAGTTAAACAATTCTCTCTGGTGTGTTTTCTAAATGCGCAAGTACGAAAGCTCGCTGTGACCGTCTAGTTAAAAGGTGAGTGCGAGCTTGGAAAAGCAGTGAACATGATGGGTGCCAAAATATGCATCACATGATTTCGACATCAAATTTAGCAAAACTCTAAGTGTGAAATTAATATTCAGGTATATAAGACAGATATTGTTTTCTTGCCTAAGAATATAGCAATTGTATCAGAACAGCCCATTCTGCACAGTGAATTTGTATATAAATCCACTTATGATATTAATACCCGGATTTTTGATTGTTGTAATGTCTATCTCTTTACGTAATATTAACATTTTTAGATCTTTTTTCACTCCAGTATCATTCATGATATGTGTTGAGGTCATGATTTCAGTGTAAATTTTCCAACATCCATAGACTTGAAAATTTATTGATCACTTCAAGTAACTGTTCTAAATAGTTGTATTTGGATTGCCTCAATTTAGCAGTTTTTATGTGAAAAATAAAAATGTAATATTTTTCAAAACTATTTAAGAAGGGAAAAGTAGAAATTTCCTTTGTGGAAATATTTGGATACCGCTTAAAGAAAGTAACCATTTTCTTTCGGTTCAAAATTCAGTCCAGGTTTAAGTTACTGAAATCGGTCTTAAATTTGATTAGCTAAATCCATATAATATCTATATCAAATGCATTATATAATAATATATATATTAATAATAATACAGGAAGCCATAAATGTTCTTTACAATTTGTTTGATTCTCTTCTTCACATTAAATACAAGTTGTTGCCAGTTACGACTGGTATGCTTTGATAATCCAGGATTTTTCTAGTTGATAACATCAGTGCAACTCTGTAACTTCTTCAAGCTAATAAAGTGATTTCTGATGTGAGATTTGTGTCGATTTTCTGTGGACAGATGCGGTGTCAGAGCATTAGTTATCAGCTGTGCTTGCCGTCATTGCCATTTCCATGTATATGACGGTTCATGCAATAAATTGATAGTTATCTCTAAACTAACCATCATAGCATCAGAATTCATGTCAAACTGGAATATTGACAGCTTTCATATTTATGAGTTTTCTTAATGTTATGCAATTTTAATTTTATATTTTTATTATTAATTTTTTATTAAAAAATGTTTTTTGTTGCATGTAAATTTTTCATTCTGCACACTCAAATTTTAATCGCCCTGGATTTTGGACCCGGGAAGCACTAGATTCTTACTTATGTGCATTGCCAGTCCCCTCCCCTCCCCCCCCCCCCCCCTTCCCACCTCGAGCAGCTAGGGAGTAATTTACTGCACTTGCTGGTATGATAACTTGAATCTGAACGCTCCCCTACATACAACATCCTTAAATTATTTTCTGCGATATGCAACTAGCATGTTAGGCTGAAAATTGAGAAGTTTGCCAAGGTGAAACTGAACATCTACTGGCCTGTTTTAAAACAACATTGTTAACGTGAACTGTGCCTTGGTACCTAATGTAAAATTTTAAGTTGGTGGCTAATATGTTCTATCAATTGAAATTGCACACAATTTTTTTTTCTTTTCTACAATGAATGACACATTTAAAAATGGAATGCTGATAATTCTCTGCCAACACATCCAAAATTAAAAATAAATAAATATGAGTAAAAACTTGCCAAAATAGACACTTCTGATTGAATGAACATGGCAAAGTTGGTAATAGTCAAAACTGGACGTAAAATGCACTTCATTTACAATATAACTACAAACAACAAGTTATATAAAGAGCTCATTTATTGATCCTCCACAGTACACGGACTGAGGCATCAATCCAAAGAATGAATGAATGAATAAGTAGTCACATTCAAATATACAGACTAAAATACTCAATAATTGTGAAAAATACAGCAGCGTGAAGACATATGACAGTGTGCAGTCGATTTCATGAGAGAGGTTTTCGTGGATCAGTTAACAGCCAGAAAAAAATCATTTATATATAACTAATATACACTGGAGAATATTGGGCGTGGGTTTGAAGTACTCTCACCTGATAAAATCCACCCATCATATTGGCAAATACAACTTAATTAACATATTCGACCAAAATAAGATTGTGCTAAAATAAATGTATACAATAATGATGATGAAAAAAATTAAAGTAATTGGAAGGCCATACAATATTCATAAGTTGGTTAATGAGCAGGGTCTTTTTGTAAACAGGGATGGTAGGGGACATTTATTATTATTATTATTTTTTTTTTTTTTGTTTTGTTTTTGAAGGTTGTTTTATAAGCATAGATCTAGCACTGTGAGTGCTTTTATTAACATGAAAACAACAGCTTTAAAGTTCTTTTCTGAGTCTCTTGTATATTCCCCAGCTTACCAAGCCAATGCTTGATGCAAATAATAATAATAATAATAATAATAATAAATGAAATAAACTGATTTTTTGTTTTTGGTCTGCCTCATTAATTAACCAACTCAACTATCTTGTATGGCCTAACAATAAAACTTTCTAATAAAGTTCCAATCGCAGATAATATATATAATTTATATCAATAGTGTCACTGGATGTGGACTGTTGTTCTAGCTTTCATATTAAAATGTTAACAACATGCATAAGACCTTCAAATAGCAGAAAAAAAATGAGTTTTCATCAATTTTCATTAGCTTAAAGGCATAACATCATATAATCCAAATCTGTTGAGAAAATAAGGATTTATAAATCCCTTTTCAATTATTAAATAACTATTTAATTTCAAGTGAAATCCCCCAGTCTCCAGTATCAATAACAGGAGTGGCTCAAAAATAAGAGACTTAAAACTTAAGTCATTTGACCTTGATTTTCTCCATGGATTTGGGTGCGCCGTTCATTGCTGGCAAGGGGAAACCTTTTCACATTTAGAGAACTTTTTTTTGACACTTTGCTATGAAAAGGTCCAACAATAATGGTATGGCCTTGAACACAGTTGAAGTGACCACCTGCTGGGGTACTGCTGGCACTTTTTTTTCTCTTAGCCAAATCTCTACTTTTTCATATATTTTTTCACATGCTTTTCTCCTTATGGTTTTAATTTGACTAAAACAAGTCAAATCAACCAGTTTTTGTTCAGCCGACTTAATTCAGTTTTAGAATTTGGCTAAATCGGCAAGTGTAAGCGCTACCCCAGAGTCTTGATAAACACATTAATTTTACAGTATTGCCAATACAACTGTGACAACAAAGCATGCCTGTTTTGTAGTCTATAAAATATGACAATTACACAATACCAAATTTCTCCCCAAATCAGATTAATTCTTTAATATTGTCAACAAGAGTGAAAGGACCTCAAATTGACATTTTTTAAAAATATTTAATATTTAACATGATGAAAACATATCTAATGCAAACATGAAACTTGTGAACAGATTCATATGCAGAGTAGGCAAACATGATGCAAAATCAAAGAGAACATGTTATGAAGAAACTGTGTTTAAAGACAACTTCTACTTTGAAATTTAAGTTAACTATGATATTGATATACTCCATTAATGAGTGAATGATCTGACTTATACAGTGGAATTACAATCAAGAATCTACTGGTACATAAATCAAACAGTGAAACTTCAGTGGTAAAATCGATGACAAGCAAGGCCTTCCCAGAGAACCATACAGCTGCCATTTGGACGACCAATAGCTTCATAAGACAGCTTATATTTTCAAAGGCAGACAGATGGCTTGCAAGATTTTTGGTTTTCTTTGATTGGGCCTGGGTTGGACCCCCTGTAAATCGATGACCAAATCTCCTTGAATTTTTACAACACAAGTTCCAGAACTTGATTTTTATACATGAATATTCTTGATACACACCAAACATTAAGTTCTATAAAATGTTGATTAAAAACAAACACTGAAATTTTAGATGCCTTTAAACCCTGCAGTGTACTTATTGTCTGTACTTAATTCAAAGGATGGTCTGCCTCGTTTTCTCATGAAAAAGTTCTCAACACTTTCTTTTATTTCAAGCTATGCAACTGTCAAATATTTCAGGCCCATAGGTAAGTAGGGGTGTTCAAATGAACTGCTCTGAGGTCCACATTTTCAGAAAAAAAAATTACCCCTCCACTTCCCCCCCCCCCCCCTTTTGAAATTGCTGACTACAGAACAGCTTTGAATTAGAATTGCACTGTACTTCCTCCACTGTGATTCTACTTTTGAATGTGTTTCCCAAAAGAGAGTATCTTGTTTGGTTTTCTTTTCTTCATAAAAAGGAAGAAATTCTCCCATCCCTGGTATTTTTATTTTTGTGGCACTGAATACCTCTCCTACAGGTAAATGTCTCTCAATGTCTGATGAGTGGAGACTTTGGACTTCGGCCATTCATTTCTGTACAGAACCGTTTCAAACACTAGATTCTGCCAACACACGTAACACCAAGTGTGACTTTCACTGTCTGAGCGAAAACCCAGCTAAATCTTATATATCTCATGTATATATATATATGCCAATCACAAACACATAATCCTACCCAAACAGCTCGTCGTGAATATGACTGCCATCTACAGTACTTGCATCCTTCCTTAGCATATGATAAGACTTCCAAAACAGCTCGGTTTGAGTGTGACTGCCACCTACTGGACAAAAAACCTAAACACACATCTGTACAACATCCACAACAGTCACAGTTCATTTTCCTAGCAATGTGGCCTGTCTTGTGACAATGTCCACCTACTTTAGAGACACACATGCAGTGTGGCCTGTCTTGTGGACATCTGCCACCTATCTTTGAGTAACATGCCATGCACTTCAACATCTACCATTTCAGTAAGAAATGGCACTAAAATTCCTAATCAAAGTTTTTCTTTGTGTTCAGCATGTGTTATCCGTCTAGTGGTTGTCCTAAGTAAACCATTGACACTTCAGTGTTCCCGTACACTGCTGATACCGCCGGATACAATTCCTGACTCGGTAGTCCTCTAAAAGCTACACCTGAAAAATAAAGAACTTCAATGAGTATTGGAAGTGTTAATATTATCCTTGTATAACTGAACACAGATTAATTTTCTGTTGGGTCATACAACTTAGCAGCAAAGGGGCCTCTCAGTGCACAGTCAGCTCCATGAGAGAACTCGAGGCCAAACGTGGGTTTGAGCTTTGGGACCAATAATTTTAGAATATTCTGATGCACGATAAATCAAAAGTAGACTGACTGAATGAAAAATCACATCTGTTTTGTAACAAGAAAGAAATGGCTGATGCCATAAACCAATAGTTCGCATTTTTAATTGGACTACTGCAGAATTATGCTACTTAGGGATTATGAACAAAGTATTCAAACCAATACTGTGGTCTAAGGGCCCCTTCCCAATGATTTTATATTGATCTATCCCTGTTGGAAGTCTCACTAGATTACTGTCAGCTTAGCCAGCTTAAGCGTCTGTCCCGCCTACTAAAAGCTGTAAGGGGGTAATAAAGTATGGTGCGCGCTCGGTTGACTGCAATTTAGCATGAACCCCAGGGAGTAAGGTCGATCTAAATCTTATTCTCTGGATCGATCTAAATCTCTGGGAATGCAACCTTAGGGTCCATTCCCGATGAAACATTCAGTCTAGGTAGATGGATCCAACCCTGTACGGACTTTCACTGAAGGCAATAATTTTAACAGATAAGTGTTCCTCCTACTGGCATTAAATACCATAAAATTGGTGATTTTTCCAGTACATTGCAAACAAAAAGAGGCTCTTTTATCTGATAAGCTGATTGCATTCAAAAAGAGTCCCAATGGAGTTGGATCGATATACGAAGACCTATTGTTTCAATGAGAATGAGTCCAAAAGAAAAGATAAACTTTTGGTCAGCAGTTCTAAGAGACCCACCCATGGAGTAAGTTATACAGTAGCCATTTAGCCATCTATTCTAGTCCAGAAATGGTTTCAGTTTTAAACCACCCTGAATGTGTCTTTGATAAAGTCCACTTACCTAAAAATTCATAATTCTTTTCAAATGCTATGGTGTTGTCTTCACAATCTAGTATAACTCGTATCCTTTCTCCTACCTGGAAAATAAATAAATGAATGAATAAACAAATAAATGAATAGAAGGGGAATTTCCCATTATTTATGTGGTACTCTGTCCTGATCAGGGAACGGAATTTATAGTTAATGCTATAATATAATTAATAGAAGGGGAATTTCTGATTCTCAACGGCCTCACTTGAATAACCTCTGTTGAACTTTCATTCTTGAACATCTCACACAAATCCAAAATCTACCTAATCTTACCCCCCCCCCCCCCCCACTTTGATTTCTTCAGAAATTTCATTAATATCCTGCTCTTTGACGACCAAGGTATAACCTTCCAAATATGTTGCAAAAAATGACAATTCATAGACACATCTTTGAGTTTTAAATTTCTAATTTAACGATCTTTGCTTTAAAGCAACAGTCTCTATTCATGTATAGTGACCCAAAATCCAGAAACTTATCACTAAAATTGGAGCATAAATTATGCAGTTGGCTCCTGATACAGTATAGCTTGATGACTAAGGGGGGAGGGGGTGTTGAATTTTCCAAGAAAACTAGATAACCACTATAGATATAAAGGTCTCGCAGTCTATATTTGGGCCTTTCAAGATGCATTTGAAGTGTTTTTTTTTTTTTTTTTTTTCGCCACAAAATGCCACCATAAGTTTCAAATAACATAACATAGAGAAATACTGAAAAGACATCATTTTATACTTTCAAAACAATATCTGAAAAACTTTTTCTGCTTGCTTTCCTGTATATAAAAGGGTCACATAAGAAGGTCAAATTTACCACCAAAAACGGTTTAAAGCTCTCTTAAGGCTGATCAGGTGATTGATTTGGTTATCCCTTGGCATGTGGACTTCATTTGAGTCATATTAGAAACAAGTAGAAGTTATTTACGGCTGTATATGCATTACTGCACAAACATTCAGTTCATATGTACCTTTAAAGTTGATTACCTTTCAAGGGGAGGAAAATATGAAACTAGCTCAAATAATATTTTAAATCAATCTTCAAGGATCACAGGATTAATTTGGGATAAATTCTTGTCAACTTACTGCTCACTTCACCTTTAATCAAAGAATTCGAAGGAGATGCCATCATACTAATAAGTGAAAAATTGAGGTTATTCTCTAATGATATCAGTTAATTTGGCAGGGTCCTAATTGAGGATACTATCTTATTAGATGACTCACAGCAATTGGGAGTAAAATAATGAAGTAAACATTGGAACATCTGCTATTACATGACTGGCCATTGAAAACTTGCAGCAAGAACAAGGCTATTGTTTTGCCAAAAATGTGTTTGAACATCAGCAGAAATGCTTTAAATGTATCACTCAATTTTCCTTACATATTTTATTCACTGCAAAATGACAGGTAAGCATTAAAATCCCCAAAGCAGGAAAAAAGATCACGATTTTCTCAACAGTTTTTGTAATTATATACCTTGGTGATAAATGAAAAACATTTTGGAAAAATACGTGTTTTTTTTAGAACTCTGAAGCTAAACTGATAATAATCAGACTGCCATATGCATTGGACCCATGCACATAATAAAGGGGGAGGGAAGGTGAGAACTGAAAATTCCTTTATGGTCTCATCTGCACAAAAATCATGCGCAAGCACTCCTATTGACGATTGTGATAAATACTAGCAATGCTAGCTGGGTAGATATTCAAATCTTCAATAGGAGTGTAAGCACATGGATTTCATTCTAATGGTTTCACATGTCCACTTCCTCATTCCAACAACAGAGCAAATTCCATCCAATAACATCACATGATATTTCTCCAGCTACCTGATATTTAGGTGCATTATTCACGTGAGGGAAGTTGCCCTGACTATCTCCATTGTGCAATAAATCATTGTCCACTAGATTCCAGCCCCAGCTCTGGTCATCCCCTCCCAACAGGGGGACATAACCGTGACACTGGACGCTGGCTTTTTTGGTGGCTATTCCGATAACCGCAACCGTCCCAAGTGGACCTTCCCACCATATTTCCCAACAGTGTCTACCGTGCCTAAATCCAATTTTTCCCCGAGCACCGTCTGAGCTTTGCGCCACGGGGTTCCGATGTAGCGTAAAGCCGTTGGGTTTAATATAAACGTTTCTCGAGCAATCATTTGGGTTCCACGCGTGATAGAATGCCCTCAGTTTTGCTTTGTAAGTTGGGACGTTGCTAAGAAGGTCAGACTTTAAAGCCTCTTCCGCCAGCTTTCGAACGCAGTGTAAACGCCAAACGTCATTGTTTTCGTCGTTGAGAGTCTTGTACCAGGTCTTGCACACCAGAGAACAGTTCCGTAGGTCCTCGATGTCTAAATATGAGAAGATATTTTCAAGGGCTAGGGCCGGTAATCCCGTCCAATTGGGGGCAGCCATGATGGTTTATGAGTCACGCGTAAGTCTCGCGAGACTATGAGGTCAGTGGGGTGCAGTTTCGAAACCGTATTTCCATAGAAGTAGAACATGGTTTCGCTTTGCAATTTTTTTTTTTTTTTTTTTTTTTTTTTTTTATTGAAAGCTGGTGATTTTCTTTTAAAATGTTAATTTATAGCAATCGTGATTATGTTTTTATTGAATTAAAGATGTTTTGGAATATTACCTTTAAAAGTTCAAGCTAAAAGAACTTTGAAGAGTGTGAGGCTTACACAGATCAAAATTCTAAGGATTATTTACTCGGGAAAACATCGAAATTTTACACTCTTAATAACAGAAATAAAAAAAGAAAAATGCAACTGTGCCATTTAATAAATTTATTTCACATCTCACATATTCTACAGATGTTTTTTCTCTGAGTAAATAAATATGTTAAATAAAATTTATATACTTTTAATTTATATGCAAATTTTATATGCAAAATTTTTATACAGCTGCTCGTGACTTTGGTTTTCTGTTAGGTCCAATAATCTACCAACAGCTGTGAACCAGCAGCCGCCACTAGATTTTTTAACACGTTTTCGGCTGATAATCTACAGCTCTAGCATCAATATTTCAGTCATTGCACTTACTACCAGTTACAGACACCGATTCGTGTGCTGACAGTTTACTGTATAAGATGCAAACAGTAACATGTTGCTGCAAGGACAGAATGTTCTTTCGTTTACAAGTTACTACAGGCGTTCCCAATATATCTTCTCCTTAATAAAATGGACACAGGGACAAACCAATAGAAATGCCTTCCAACCAGCATCAAAATTGCGCCTTTTTCAGATAAACTCCTTTTTATAGATCACAAAAAGCGCCAATATATAACGTCCCTGTATACACACGCAACCATCATTTCATTTTTAAATAAAAGTACCAATTTATCAGCAATACCATTAAAACCCCCATTAACAGATTATGGCACAACATGAAAGTTAAAACTGGAAACCTCTCAGTGTCTCACTCTTAACATGGTGCACTGTCCTCTGTATATATGGCGTAATAACTGAGACACGCCTCTGAATGAGCACAAATGAAAAACGCATTAACAAACCCGTTGTAATCCTCAGAGAAACATACAGTTAAATCACTCATATGCGTTTCCACTTCAAGCACTCGGATATCCATATAGACCTACACACACCGGTGCATGTGAATAACAATAATGTGCAATGTAAACCTTTGACAGTAAACATTACATGCAATATTATAAATAATGTTTAAACCTCGCTATGACACTCAGTGTACAGTTCAAGCTCAGCGACTGTTCTCTACACATTGAATGGAATGATAAGGTTTTTAATGTATATGTAAAAGTTCGACCGGTTGCGAATCTTTTGTTACAGACAGATTGCGGGAGTTTTACGTATTTTAAGTTAAAAAACATTTTTTTTTTTAATATATTCCCGGTCGTGTAACAGCCTTGTCATATTTAATAAGTGTTAACTACACTTCCCTTACATTGAATAAATTGTATCTAAAATTATTCATAACCTTATTATCAAAAGACATTTAAAACTTCAACCTATCGGTTACGCTTTTCTAAAAAATATGTTTTAATAAGAGTACTTTTGTAAACATATTCTGTAGATATCTGAATACTGTAAGACTATATATCTTCTTTATAAGAATCAGAATCTATTTGCGACTTCACCTAATAAATGATTAAAGTTTCTTTCCGTTCTTGCATAGATTGCTGAATTTTCTTCAATCTCAGCTCTCTGAGGCGATCTGTATACCAGCCTTTTAGCCTTATGTTGTAGAAAGTTTGAGATACGTATTTGTTTTATAAGAACTAATGCGCAACCGAGAGCAGTTCGCATTAATTTTTTGTATAAATAACACACCAGAAAAAGCGGTCCTACATTACTTAAAAAAATTAATAGGTCTGAACATCACTTCAACAATATTCATGTATAAACCTATTTGATTATATAAAAGATAGGCTAAGGGCTTAAATCCCTTCTAAAACTTGCTCTTTTACAAAATTAGACCTATATCAATTTAAAAAATATACATGTTTTGATGAATATATATAGGCCTAGGCCTATACACAATATTCTAAGAAAGCATAAATAAAGGGCCTAAACAGCCCAAAACCCACTCAAACTTGCTGTCAATTTACTGAGGACCAGGGTTAAATTAGAAGTTTAACGTTCTGAAATATAAAATGCGTAGATGTTCACCTCTTCATTTTTCGTGTCACCTTTGGTCGATGTTTTTATTACTGTAATTAACTAGACCTTTCAATATTCATGTTGTAACAAGAAGGTCTACATACTATTTCTTAAATATAAAAATACCAACACACTGTAAGTGCGGGTTTTTGCACAAACTAGTTTTCTTTTCTTTTTTTGTAACAACTCGATGTTGTACTTATTATATCATCAAGCGGTCGACAACTAAGCTTTTACTGCCGTTCTAACCGCCACCTTCACTCTGTCATTCTTCCCTGACACCTGCTTCTATTCCACATGTCGTCTTCGGTGCCAAGAAAATAATTTTATTTTATAGTAACTGGCACAGCTAGGGGTCAATGGCCGAAATTAAGCCACACCCAATCATCCTCCGTGCCTCACATGTACTGTTTTCATGTACACTCCCACTTTCCGTCCTCTTCCGTGCACTGAAAATATTTTGCTGTTACAGTTACTAAACATCAAGAGGTCGACGGCCCGACAGCAACTGCCGTTCTTTCCTCCATCTTTTCTTATATTGCTTTGATTCATTTGTCCATCGTTTGTCTGCTATGTAAAGATATATAGTAACTCGCTGTCACAGTTCAAAAACCTCCACCTTCATTTTTTTTCTTATTCTTCAGTTACTAACACCGTACATCAAGGGGTCGACGACCCGGTAACACCTGTCGTCCTAACCTCCATCCTCACTTACTCTTTCATCGATGCCTAAACCATCTACTTTTCTTTTTGCCAGCGACGAGCAAGAATAGCGTTTGTAATAAATACGCCAGTTTAAATTTAACACTTACACTGGTATCACCTACAACTTAATTTTAGCAAAGTTTTAGCGACTTTGAATGTGTAAATAAATGTTTACGCAATGCGTCAACTGATTAAAGAAAAAAAAATCAAAATGTTCATACGAAACCAAAAACCATATGTTTTAGAAAATAATGTGATCTTCTAATAAAATCATATGAAAAATTAAATTAAATTAATAAAGTTTGCATATTGTTGTTGACTATGTAACTGATAGTATTTTATTCCTCCTCGGCCTTTCTCTTGCTGCTCTTGCCCTTCCCTTTGCCTTTCCCGCCGCTAGCCATTACCTGTTGCAGCACCAGATCTTCCATGATTAACTCTTGCAGTTTCTGCTCGCTCCAGTCGTCCCAGACTTCAACGTCCCCGTAGTTAACCTCGGTGCCGCCTGTAGCCCCAAGTTCACTTCCTGACAGAGCAGCGGCGATGGCACCTTTGGAGAGCACGGACTCCGAACTTAAAGAAGGATTGAGCTCAGCGACTGGCAGCACACCTGAGGGTTCGGCGGTCTCTCTATCTGGCTCGGGGAACTTGGTGTTGATGTCCAAGATCTTAACCGGCTTCTTCTTTTTCTCTTTCTTCTCCTTCTTTGGCTTCGGGACATAGGTCTTCCCCTTTTTCTCCATCTTGGCCTTTTTCTTTTCCTCTGCCTTTCTCTCTTTCTCCTCTTTCTTCCTTTCCTTCTCCATTTCCTTTTCTTCTTTCTTTCGCTGTTTCTCCTTTTGTTTCTCTACCTTTCTTTGGACGAGAACTCTGTCCACTAACTCTCCTCTCACTTTCCCATCCACTGGGCAGTCATCCGGAGGACAGCATTTGTCGAACAGGTTTACAGGTCTTGGTTCCGGCCCCGGATTGGCTGGGGTGGGATAGACGCCAGGGTCTGGCTGAAATAGATGATTTTCATACCAATTTACTATTACGTATTTACAAATACGTTTTTAGAAATACGTGGATTGTTGCTGTGAATTAAAATGATCGTGAGAAAAAGGAAATATTTAAGGGAAATTCAAATTCGAATAAAAATAAAAAAACTCACCTGCAGAAAGCAGCAACAGAAAACGGCAAGGAATGCCTGCCATCTTGAGACCTCCTTGGGTATCTCTTCCACCCTTTCTTCATCCTGCTTTGTCTCATATCTTTCTTGGGCCTCTCTCAATTTCGCTTTAGTCTTCTCAAGATTTTGCTCCTCAAAGACCGTTGATTTGGCTCTTTTTGGTAAAATGAAACAATTAAAAAGTTATTTATTTGAATTGAAATGATCAAACGAAAAGTACCTGAAATGTGACATAAATTTTAGATTATCAATTTTTCCGAACCATGAACGTAGCAGTGGTGGATCCAGGATTATTTGAGGGGGGGGGGGGGGGGGGAGGGGGCCCGCAATCCTTGAGGGGTTCCGAAAATTTTTTTATTTTTGGGGGGGAAGGGGCCCAC